TGTTTTTCAAGACATCTTTCCGGAATATGCGTATGTGAAGGCGTTCAGATAATGACGATATTGCACAGTATTATTCATGAGATTCTTGTCAAAAGTAAGGTCGGATAATAGATCGATTTTATTCAGCAGTGTTGGCCCTGGGGCCTATAGTACGATTACAGTTTTATTACTTACACGTGGTGCTAGTAACATATTAAGTTCCTATTGGTATTTAATGCATATTTCAGATAAAAGCTATGGTATTAATTACACAACATCTATAGCTATATTGTTTGATGTTAAAAGATTTGGCAATGTGTGTTCATACATTACAATTTTTGACAGACTTGGCAAATAATTAATAAATGATATTAATAGCATCTTCACAACTTGGCCATACAGTCATGAAAATTTAAGGAGTGAAAAGTGAGCGATAGGTCTTGCTGGAATTCAAAGATTCATTAAGACTGTAGCCGTCTAAGCGTAACTCTGTGTGTAATATTTATACATTTTCTATCCACGGACAACATGCTTCTAATAGTACGATTAAAGTTTGATTACTTGCACGTGGTGCACGTGGTGCAAGTAAATGTGTCATCTACAAAATAAACTGTGATTGTGGGTAGAGCTACATAGGCGAAACTTCCCGACCAATCAACACCCGAGTGAAAGAACATCAGACCTCTGTTACCAATTCCGACAGCAAATCAGCCATTTCCGACCATATCAAAGCAAGCCCCAATCATCAAATAGAGTGGTCTGACATCACCATTTTCTCTAACAAACAAACAGACTTCACTAAACGCAAGCTCACCGAAGCCATCCACATCAAACGCCAAAAGCCCACCATCAACCGAGACCAAGGATACTTCATTCCATCCGCTTATGATGCACTCATCCACCAAGCCCAATCTACTGTATAAACTCTGCTGTATAAACATCTCATTATTATTTGTACATCATTGGCTTCCACGCCTGTCCTTTGTCTACTCTCTGGCTTCATCAGCTTTCTGCCTAGCCAATTATGTTAATTATGTTGTTTTCTTTGTTACATTGTTACATCCAGTATATATATACTTCCCCCTTCTTCATGTTCCATTATGCTTGACAACGGTACAAGAATCTGTATCGAAACGTCGCACTCACGAATAAAAAGAAGTTGTTATCCATAAAGTTTGTTCTATAATGCTTCTAATATTAATATAATTTTCATGGATTCATCATATTTTATCTATAGCTGTGATATACTTTTTCATTAAAATGTCTTTTCTGTTGCTTGAATTGAAGTAAGTCCCACACAGAGCTGGGATCATATGTCTTTGAAATATAAATTATGCAAACGTCTGGAACCTTGTGTTCCAATACAAAACGTTCGTAACGCTACGACATTCGCATGCCTATGATAAACTATAGAGTTGGCCTCAACCAATAACTGGATTACATTCTCATAGTCAGCAGAGAAATTTCGACTTCTCTTTTTCCTTGGGGTGCAGGCGACATTTTGCGTTTCGTTTTTGGTAAACCGGAAGTAAACAGAAAACGGAACTATGGGATATATAGAAGCTAACCAGTGACGTTAACCACACTGTTAAACTTTGACGGCGACGTTAGCTAACCATGTTTTGAACAACGCATATTAAACGTTCGGTTACCTAACGGCCGGTTAAGGATTTAACCGGCCGTTAGGAGTTAACCGGCGGTTAAGATAATCGAGTATTGAACAACCGGGCCCAGATAGATAGTTAGTTAACCAACTAAGTACGTTTCCACGAACACCATCATTTTCTAATTTGTGCAATAAACCTTTATGCCATGCCCTGTAAAAAGCTTTTGAAATATCACAAACCAGCATACAGTAAAGGTGGTGATTATCTAGGACTGACCATATATTATGATAAATGTCTATGTTGAGATGTAGTAGAATGACTAGCAGTAAAAACCTGACTGGAATTTACTTAAAATGTTGTGTTTATGAAAATGGTCGTGCACATGCTTTACCATTATTCTTTCAAGGATTTTCCAAAGGATAGGTATTAAACTAATAGGTCTGTAATTAGTTGGGAGGGATGCATTTCCTTCTTTCAAAATAGGAGTAACATTACCCGTTTTCCACAAGGTAGGAAATACAGTCACTCAGTGATATATTATACAACAAACAAAGAGGTTCAGCTATAGATGTACAAATTCGTTTTAACACTCTCATGTTAATGCCATCAGGTCCACTAGATTTGTTTGCTGGTAAGGTCTTATCAGATACCTCCTTTTCGGTTACAATGACATTTGTTATACTGTTAACACAGCGATGGCTAACAGGTGGCAAAGTCTTGCCGCCATCAGTAACATTTGAAACAGATACAAAATATTCATTTAATGTTTGAGCTTTATCCAAATCTGTAAAAACTGAAGGTATCCCAGAATCATCAGTGACAAGAAGGGGAATGGGTCCCGATGAAGTAGTAACCACCTGATTGAGTAGACTGAGGTGATAAATAGTTATCAAAAATAGATTAAAAGTTTCCCTTGGCTATTCTTTTCCGATTAGTTACTTTATTCCTTTGCTTTTTGTATTTAAATAGCTCAGAAGTATTCAGAGATCGAAATGCTTTTTTTCCTTAGACGTTCTCATTTCTTTTAAGTATGTTACGAGGGGCGTTGAAAAAGTAGTCAAACTACATTCTCGATGTCCAATGTTTGAAAAAAGCTTCCATTTTATTTTGAAGGAATCATTAGCAAAGTCATATCCAAAATTTCATTTGGGTAATGTGGTTAACGAGATATTAGTCATCACAACATTGGGGTATTATTTTTCTTGCAAATTTGCAGAAAATGGAAAACGATCTCCCATTTGGTATCTAGTAATAGTAATAGTCCGCTTATATGGCGCTCACATCCAGGCACATTGCCTGCTCACGGCGCTACGTACATTACTATCCCCGATCATAGGACACTATCGTAGTTTCCGATACTTTTTCAACTCCCTGGGGACTGTACAGCCATGCTGCCTGTTAGGCGCAATGAACTAAACACTCACATTGCCAGCACATTTTCATGGGTACCCATTTTACAGCTGGGTGAACTGAGACAGTGTATCTTGTCCAAGGATACTACGCAAATGTGCCCATCTCGGGAACCGAACCTCGGTGCCTCCTCGAAACAGGGCCTTCAGCGTGATAGGCAGACGCCTTACAACTGCACTATTGCGCTATCTCTTGGATAATGGTATACCCTCAGATAGTATCATATAAAATATGTTCAGCATAGAATTGGATGACTTCCAGTCATCATTAACATTCAAAGATTTGGATTGCTTGATTTACATTTAGACGGGGACTGTTTTTTTTAGGACACCCTCATTTTAAATTTTCAAAAACATTGTGTCCAGATATACAACATATTGAGAGCTAACACTTGTGTGACCATTCAGTATTTAGTTTGAACCCTTGACACCATGTATGAATAAGTGAAAACTTTAGGATGAGTTATATCCTTATGATGACGTCAACTGAAAGGGGGTGGGTAGTGTCTCCAAAACAAGCCCTTTCAGTAAACATGAAGGGGGAGTCACTTGAACAAGCGATTATAGTTTAAAATTGCTTTTTTGTGCAGTTTAATATCTAAGTTTGACTTTTACCAACATACAACATGTTCTTTGCATATTTTGTTTCAATTGGTGTAGGGGGATTCCCGCCAATACACCTTGATATAAAATTGGATCAAAATCTATTAATTCTTTCCTGAGTTCGCGGCTACCAAGCTTGGCATGTGCAAAACTGTTACACCTTCGCTGTGACCTTTAAAATGACCTCAAGGTCACTAAATTCAATTGGTGTCGGTAAATCTCGTCAATAAACCTTGGTATCAAATTTGAACAAAATCCATCATTTCTTTCTCGAGTTCTTTCAGTAAACCGAAGGGGGAGTCATTTGAACAAGCGATTGTAGTTTCAAATTGCCTTTTTGTGCAGTTTAATATCTAAGTTTGATTCTAGCCGACCTCTACCAATCTCAAACATACAAAATGTTTCTTGCATATTTTGTTTTCGTGAAGTTTAATGTGTGATGCATTTTATTGCTAGTCAGCTAGGCTATTCCATTTGTCCGAACCACAACATACGGAGACAGATCATTTAGCAGACCGGGTGCTGTACTCTGGAATTGATTACCTGAAAATGTCAGAAAATCGGAAAATATCAACAGTTTCCGATCTTGTCGCAAAACCATCCTCTTCAAACGAGCATTCCACTAAGCGCACATGAGCAGGACTCTGGATATGTAGCGCTATACAAATGTCTAATTTGATTTGATTTGATTTGATATACCCGTTAGAAACCCACCCCCACCCCACCCCACTTTATATTTATACACATCAAAACCTCAAAAGATATTTGCGAAAAGACATGATACAGAGGACAGTTTATATCGATTATATATCAGGACGAATATCATTTTCGTCATTTGGCTAAGATTTGTCAATTCTTTCTTGGGTTATCGCACTGACAATCTTGGCAAAACCCTAAGATTTTTGGTGTGACCTTGAAAATTATCTCAAGGTCACTCCATTTCACTTGTGTCGGTGAATCTCGCCAATATACCTTGGTACCAAATTTGAACAAAACCCATCATTTCTTTCTTGAGTTATCGCCCTAACAAGCTTATTTTTTATGTATGAGTGCAACGAAAAACAAACTCCCGCGTATTTACGACTGATTAAAACTGTTATTACAATTTACGTAAACATTTATTACATTTTACCGCAACGAAAATTATTACAAGTTACGTCAATTTTTATTACAATTTGCGTATCACAATTTACGTCAATTTTTATTACAATTTACGTTTTTATTACAATTTACGTTTTTATTACAATTTACGTTTTTATTACAATTTACGTCAAGTTTATTACAATTTGCTGCAAGTATTACAATTTGCGTTTTTATTACAATTTACGTCGTAACAGCGGTTCTGAAGGCATCCCTGGATTAGTGACTTCCCTGTCTTGTGGACAACGTTGTGGTTACATACCTGTCGTTGGTCTGCATATCTATGACAACAATCCTGTCAATGTGCCAATTGGACGAGCCCCTTGTCGTCATGCCACACCTTGAGGCGAGTCAGTGCACCAAGACTGCTCCCCGTCGTCATGTAGAAGTTGGAGACCGTTCCCGGCACGAAGTTCTGTATGAAGGAGACAGTTGTTTAAACGTTGCTTAGAACTGTTGTCATTAGCATGTTCCTTTAAAAGCGAAACACTTTGGTGCAAAACACGCGCAGGGGTAAGGTGCTGACAAACAGAAACACGTTCAACTGGAATCTGGGATTTCACTACTGAAAACATATTTCAATGGCATTTAGAAGTGATACACATAAAGTGTGAAGTTTATCGATGTCAACTTCTGTATTCGAGTGACCCGATTGATTCACTGATTGTTGTTTAATGCCGCACTCAGCAATATTCCAGCTTTTAGACGGTGGTATGTAAATAGTCGAGTCTGGACCAGACAATCCAGTGATCGACAGCATTGGCATCGACATATGTAATTGAGATACGATGACATGTCAACCAAGTCAGCGAGCCTGACCATCCGATCGCGTTAGTTGCGTCTTACGACAAGCATGGGTTGCTGGAGATTAATTCTATCCCGGATCTTCACGGGTAGCGAGGAACTCGACGTTTCGGAGTTTAGTCTTACCCTTTCATCTCTTGATACATACATCGAAACATCGTGTTCCTCGAAAATATAAGATGATGTCTATAAAGGTTTCCCCTTCGCTGTCGCAGACAGCTTGCGGGCATAATGCAGTCGCTCGACGACCGGACTCGTCAGCTAGGAATGTCATTTTGAACTGAGTACATTTTTACGTTTGTTTAGACAGAGATCACATGTCAGTGTGAGAAAATGGTCAAGCACACAAACATATTAACTTCATGGGAGCTTACCTTCCGCTTTCCATCTGTCAATATTCTGGATTTCGTTTTGCCGTCTTTACCATGGAGGATGAAATATGGTGTTGACGTCAAGTGACGTGATGATCTCAGTGACGTGTGTACGCTTAACGTGTAGCAGCAGGTATCGGCGTTAGCGTTGTCCAGCAGGTGAAGGTAACGCCACTGGGAAGAAACGACGGCACATTGCACACGTTTGTGTTGACAAGAAACTACCTTGGATATTGTATGCGGGATGTGTTTATGTATATGTTTGTTGTTTAAGTCACGTTAGTACGTGATCAGTGTCTTTTAAAATAGGGGCGGTGGGGTAGCCTTGTGGTTGAAGAGTTCGACTCGCCACATGGGTACAATGGGTGAAACCCATTTCTGGTGTCCCCCGCCGTGATATTCCTGGAATATTGTTAAAAGCGGCGTAAAACCATACTAATTCACTCACTCCTGAAACGACCTGTGACGTGATGTCCTCAAGGGCGCACGTGTATTTGTGCAGTAAGGTATGCTGGCCATTGACTGCTCCGTTTTTCCGTGTTCCGTCGTTTTCTCTATTTGCTAAATAGTCTATTCGTTATGGCATGAACGCTATGTCGCATAGTATTGATGATGATGTAAATGACGTCATTTTAACGACGTAACGAAATTGAATATAATATTATTCCCGTTTTTACGAATGGTAATTCAAGATATATTTTTGCAGCAGCAGGGTCGGACTTACTGTCCTCTGTAATTAATGTTGAATCAGTTCCTCGTCGTTTGCAGGTCGCTCTCTTACCATTTCTTTATCAGTTTTATCAATTCTTCGGAGGAGGATCGCCACGATGATTGTCATGGCAACAAGAAAACAGTTGACTGCCAGAACATACGGACTGTCTCTGATGTAGGTTTCTATGTTCAGGAAGAGCCGATTGAAGTCGATGGGGGTCGGCGCTATGAGTACTTCATTTAGGGCGAACGTCCCGAAAAAGTTTGACGTAAATTTGACCTTTCCAGTTTTAGCTAAACCGGTAACCTGTATACGCACAGAAAGATGTATTACGACATGCACCAGAAATCCAGAAATGTATACTTGTATATATGTGATAAAGCTGTAACAAGGTAATAAGAGCCTTTCAAACAGATCAGTTTACAAGGTATTAACTGGAACCCAAATCTTACAAAGACTTTCAAGGTTCTTCATTTTAATAAGACCAACTATATGCTTCTGCCACTACTACTGCTGCTGTTGCTGCTGCTGCTACTACTACTACTTCCACTACTACTACTACTACTACTACTACTACTACTACTACTACTTACCACTTCACCACTTTTACCACTACTACCACCTACACCACTCCCACTACCACTGCCACCACCACCAATCCCACCACCACTCACTCACCACTACCACCACTACCACCACTCACTCTACCACCACCACTAGCCACTTCACTACTCCACTAGCACTGCCTACCACCACCACTAATTACCACCACCACTTTTACCACCACCACACTCACCACCACCACTACTCACCACCTCTACCACCATTCACCAGTGCCACTACTCACCACCACCACCACCAGCCAGCACTCCCACCACCACCACCACCAATCCCACTCCCACCACCACTCACCACCACCACCACCACCACCACCACACCCACCACCACCACTCCCCACCACCACCACCACTCACCACCACCACCACTCACACCACCACCACTCACCACTGCCACCACTACCACCACTCACCACCACCACCACCACTACCACCACCACTACTGCCACCACCACCACTCACCACCACCACCACTGCCACCACCACCACCACTCTACCACCACCACCACCACCACTCACCACCACTCACCACCACCACCACTACTCTACTCACACCACCACCACCACCACTCTGCCACCACTACCACCACTACCACCACCACCACCACTACCACCACCACTACCACTCACTCACCACTACCACCACCACTACCACCACTCACCACCACCACTCACCACCACTCACTAATCACCACCACTACCATTTCCACCACCACCACTTACCACTACTGCTACCACCACTCACACTCACTACCACCACACCACCACCACCAGTACTCCTACTACCACTGCTACCACTACCACTCACTCACCACTCTACCACTACTACCACTACTCACTACTACCACTCACCACTACCACTACTTACTACTACTCACCACTACTCTACTGCCACACTACTACTGCTACTACTACTCACTACTACTACTACTACTCACTACTCACTACTCACTACTCACCACTGCTACTCACTCAGCACCACTCACTAGCTACTCACACTCACTCACTACTCACTACTTCACTACCACTGCCACCACCACTACTCACCACTCACTACACCTACTCTACTCACTTCATACCACTACTCACTACCACTACCACTCACCACTACTACTACTACCACTGCCACTCACTACCACTACTCACTACTCACACCACTCACTCTCACTCACTACCACTCACTACTCACTCACTCACACTCACTCTCACTACTACTACTCACTACTCTACTCACTACTACCACTACTTCATTACTCCACTACCACCACACCACTACTACTCACTACTCACCACTACCTCACTCACTACTCCACTCACTCACTGCCACTACTCACTACTCACCACTACACCACTCACTCACCACCAGTACTACTCACTACTACTCACTACTCACTACCTACTACCACCACTACTACCACTACTACTACCACTCACTTACCACTCACCACTTCACCACTCACCTCACTCCCACTTTCACCACTCACCACTACTCACCACCACACATTACTCACTACCACACCACTACTACACTACTCACCACTACCTACTCACTACCACTTCCTATCACTACTCACTCACTCCTACCACTACTCACTCTACTCTACTACTTTCACTACTACTCACTACTACTCACCACCACTTCCCTACTCACTCACTACTCACTACACTACTCACCACTCATCATTACTCACCCACTCACTTCTCACTCACTCACCTCCACCTCACACTACTCACTTTCTCACCACTCACTCTCCACTCACTCACTTCCACTCACTACTCACTACTACCTCTACTCACTCTACTCACTACCACTACTACTCACTACTCTTCACTACTCTACCACCACCACTTCCACCACTACCACTCACTACTACACTACTACCACTACTCACTACTCACTCTACTCACTACTCTACTACTACTACTACTACTACTCACTCTACTACTACTGAACTACTACCAGTCACTTCCACCACACCACTTCACTCACCACCACCACTCACCACCACCACCACTCACTAACACTCACTCCCACCACCATCACCACCACCACCACCACCACCACTCCCACTCACTACCACCACTCCACCACCACCACCACCACCACCACCACCACTCTCCACACCACTACTCCACCACCACCACTAGCACTTCCACCACTCACCACCACCACCACCACTCACCACTCACCACCACCACCACTCCCACCACCACCACCACTCTCCACCACTCACTCACCACCACCACCACTACCACCACCACCACCACCACCACCACTCTTACTCACTACCACCACCACCACCTGCCACTTCCCACTCACCACTCACCACTACTAGCACCACCACTCCCACCACCACCACACCACCACTGCCAATCACTCCACCACTGCCAGCACCACCACCACCACCACTCACCACCACCACCAGCACCACCACTCCCACCACCACCACCACAGCCACCACTCCCACCACCACCACCAACTCTACCACCACTCCACCACCACCACCACCACCACTCCCACTCACCACCACTCCACCACACCACTCCACCACCACCACCACCACCACCACCACCACCTACACCACCACCACCACCACCACCACCACCACCACCACCACCACCACCACCACCACTCCACCACCACTCACTTACTCACCACTCACACCACACCACCACTCCACCACTCACCACCACTACCACCACCTACCACCACACCACCACCACCACTTTACTACCACCACTCTACTCACTCACTGCTACCACCACCACCACTACTTCACCACCACTGCTAGCACCACCACTCTACCACTACCACACCAGCACCGCTAGCACTTCACCACCACTGCCACCACTACCACCACCACTCCCACTCACCACCACTACCACTACCACTACCACTCTACTCACTACTACTCTACTTCTACTACCACTACTACTACTTCTACCACTACTACTACTACTGCTACTACTACTACTACTTCGACTACACTTTTAGTACTACTACTTCTACTACTACTACTACTACTACTACTACTGCTACTACTACTAGTACTACGACTACGACTACGGCTACTACTATTTCTACCACTTCTTCGACAAGTGATGTCTTACCAGAAGATTCGAGTTATCTTCCCAGCCAATGTTTTGTGAGTTCCATACTTTGGGCGTAAGTGATCTCGTACGCATTTTGGGCATGGAGGCTGAACGCCGTTTTCTGCTATTACCGCGGTCTGAAACAAAATAAGATGAGATAAGTATCATAAACATGACAACACCTTATGGAAATTTGTCTCCATGAATATGGGGGCGCTGAGGTAGCCTAGTGGCTAAAGCATTCGCTCCGCACGTCAAAGACCCGGGTCTAATTACCCACATTGGGTACCACATTACCCACAAAGTCCATTTCTGCTGTCCCCCGCCGTGAAAAAAATAGAATATTGCTAAAGGAGGCATAAAACTAAACTCACTCACACACTGAGGATAATCGAGACTGGTGATTCCCTAGCGTTGACGGTTTAGTCCAACAGTCCAGCTGTTTGCAAATGGGGGTAATCAAAAACAATGAAAATGATCTGCGTGATATTGTTTTCTTCATGGACTTGAATTAATTTTACTGGGGTTGCACATTTACCAGAGTTGTCCCTCTTTAAAGTTAAAAATGTCATACCATTTCCCATGGGCAGCACCCGTTACTAGCTCATTCTTTGATTATTGTTTGGTATTCTTTAAAAAAGGAAGTAACTGTCAATTTGATTGTCAGTATAATTAGATTAATTAAATACATGGGTATCAGTACTTATGCATACTTTTTTTCAAATCCTAGCCTTTAAGAGTGACTGAATACAACACTGATTGGTTGTAGTCGAGTACAGTTAGCGATATAACACGAGGAGCTGCAGACAATAGACCTGTAAGGCGATGGGCATGTGCCTGAATATCAATTAGTCTGGGCAGCACTTGAAGTGCACCTCGACATGTTTTCATCTCTTAAATATTGTATCGGTTAAAACTTTAGCAAATTGGGAAAAAAATAGCATAATGCACAAATTGTTATCTCAAACATCTTATCTTTATTAAATATCTGTATTTGCGACACAGTTTGAAGCATTTTAGACGAGGTAAAGTTATTCATTATTCATTTAATACTACAGTCTTCATTTTAACATACAATTAACAAGCCACGGATAACGTTCAACAAACTGTTACAGGAATAAGAAATAGACTTTTTTCGCATTTAACAATTTATTTCAAAATGCCAGTTACCAATTACAAACTGGATATTTCCTTTGTCCATCAGTTTCCACGCTTACAGGACTGTGCGAGTGAGTGAAGGGTTTGTTTTACATACTGACTAATTTTAATACTCTAATGGATAGGTACTGTTATCAGGTATTGGCAATAGTAACCTACGCAACCGGATATGGCTATCTACTTGACTGACTTTTGTGGTCACGACACAGTGATTTAGTGAGTTACTGCACTGCTAAAACATTTCTAGTCTATGTGATTTATCAAGCGAATGTAATATTAATACGATGGTAAATAAAAGATTTCGTGTCAGTATAGATATTGCTTTGTGTAATGGCAGGCATTATTCTTAATTGTTGTTTTACGCTGCTCTGAACAATTGTCCAAATGTTTGACATCATCGTGTAAATCAACGAGCCTGGGCCAGGAATTCTACACTGCAACAGTGTGCGAAATAGCCACTGGCCCGCTAGCCCGTGGCTAGTAAAAATCCAGTCGGGCCAGTTAGTCTACACAGTCACTGGCCCGCCTGGCTATTGAATTTTCATGGAGTCATTTTGTAAATATATCACTTTCTCCGACTTGTTAAGTTATAATACACTTTCAAATCAGGTTATTTGAGGATATCAGGCATGTGTTTTCTTATTTGTTTTTGATTGTATTTTACCTTTTTGTAATCTTTTGCTTAGTTTCTCCATTCAAATTTTGGGCTAGTAACTTTCAGGCATAGCTAGCGCGACTGGCTAGCAAAATTTGGAAACTATTTCGCACACTGCTCTGCAAAACATCTGTTTAGTGCTAAACACGAACCTAACCAGGTACCATGTCCGATGACATAGACACAAAAGGGTCTAAGATCCAAGCCTCTTTAGGATATTATAGTTTAGGATTAGTTTGGTATAATGAACAATGAAAACAAACAGCTTTACGAAGAAAAAGTGTGGTTTTGTTTTACGGGCGACGTGGGCCAACAAAATACCTATTAAATGAAGACGTTGCTTATCTATCTTTTTTGTTTTATATAAATACGTTTCTTTGTACCAGTCACACATGCAAATTCGAGACCACACTCTCATAGCCAGGCACCTAATCGCCAGCACACAAAGTCGCCAATCAAACCCAGTCACCGCGGCTTCCACAAAATGTAAGTCTGACAATTGGCAGTCCAGATAGCATACTTTGTGTACCCCACTAACTGTAAATTGACACGGCCCCCATGGACGAAAGCTATGAAAACAGATACTATGTGATACGGGAAAATCAACAGTTGTGTAATTGAAGCAGGGAGAAATAAATAAACTGTACCTAAACAGGACAGGTCGTTTTGCATGATAATCGGTCATGATCACATCACACTCGTCCTTGATTCAAACACGGCACATCACATCCCGAGTGTAAAGCATTGTCTATTTATAATTGATAAGTCACGCTAACGTCCACGTTAAAAGCCATCCAGATTGTAAAAGCGACGTCAGACTTCATGTGTCATGCGCGGCGAGGGACCCCCTTTGTATGACCACTTCCCAACATTGATGAATCAATACAGTCTCTGTGACAGACCGTGAATAGTCCGCTCTGCAGCCCAACTCTCATCTCCCGTGGGATGCATCTAAACTAGTTTAGCGTTTATCATTGATGATGCTCTGGCCACACAGCCAGTAGAATAATCCCTGCGTATTCGTCCTTCTCTTTTAAGTAAATATTCATATGTTTCAGGTCCCAATGCAAGCGAGTTTCATTTGGAAAATGAAATGCGCTGTAAGGTTAATGTGGCTATTTTTGTCGTAAAATATTGGAATGTGTATCACAGTAGGTGTTCTTATGTTAGTGTACATATTTGGGTACATTTTGGTGCCAGCGACGATATGCTCTGACGATAACGATTGACGCACGGTACATACGCATGCACACACACACACAACACACATACATTTTTGTAATTATCTTTGCATGATGTTTGAATGGGATGTTTGATTTTAATTGTTTCGCGTTTGTTTCTGAGTGTACTTCGTCCACACACACATTCAGGTGTATGTGTCTAATAGAGTCTGCACAGGTGCACAGACAACATGGCTGGTGCATGTTATGTGTAGTTGCTATAAAAACCTTAATTGTGTTATTCAACCGGCGGTAGCAACTGTCTGCAATGTTCCTGAGGAACAAGGACAACATATTAATGATGTAATAGAATATTCAGAGCCTCATACATTTACTTGTTTGAAGAATCCGTATCTTTCAGATTACGACCAAATGTTTTGACAACTGGGTTAAACCATTATAAGCGGCCTGCGTTGTCAGTCTACACATTCTACACGGAATCTACAGTCCACTACTCTGTCTACTATCAATCCATGTCATGTCTATACACAGTCTACAGTCCACTACTCTGTCTACTATCTATCCATGTCATGTCTATACACAGTCTACAGTCCACTACTCTGTCTACTATCAATCCACGTCAGTCTACACAGTCTACAGTCCACTACTCTGTCTACTATCAATCCACGTCATGTCTACACACAGTCTACAGTCCACTACTCTGTCTACTATCAATCCACGTCAAGTCTATACACAGACTACAGTCTACTACTCTGTCTACTATCAATGCACGTCAAGTCTACAGTCCACTACGGTCAGCTTAGACTCAGTCTACAGAAAGTCACTGGCCCTTCTATTCCAACACGTTCTGGTCAGTCCTTGGTGAATCAACACACAATATATAGTCCACGTCAGACAATTTGGTGACAGTTTACAATTCACTACCCTGTTTATTATCAATGCACGTAAAGTCTACACACAGTCAGTCTACAATCCACTGCAGTCTGTTTACAGTCAGTCTACAAACAGTCACCGGCCATTCTCCGTGGTACGTTCAACCACTTTCCGGTCAGGCTTTGGTGATTCTACACAAACCACGTCAGACAGTTTGTAGACAGTCTCCAGTACTTCTACAGTCCGTATTCAGTAAGTCCCCGGTCAGTCAGAGGTGAATCTCCACACAGTATACAGTCCACTACAGCCAGTCAGTGAGGGATCAGCACTCACACAGTATACATAGAGAATACTACACGAGGTCTCATTACATACGAATTATAAATACGAAATGAGTGTCTTTCCTATGGTATCTGACCGAGCGAAAGCAGTGTAATCGGAAGGATTGGGCGATTGTGTTTAATCTTGTTCAACCGACCTTCACCTCAAAGAAATTGCCTAAAATGTACAACAGTGTTGACGTATGACATCACTACCAGATGACCGATTTCTTACAAAATGGCGGCTTTGCTGACAAGTGTGACTTTCTATTATCGCGGGCTCTCTATTATCGCGGCACGGGGAAGCGGAAACACCACGCCCCGCATCGGCTGTTTATATATGCAAATAACGTAAATATATTCATTGCTCTTGAAAAAAGTCATTTATTTCATTGGAATGTCATGTCTAATCGTAGAAATATTAAAGCATTCATCTTTTCAGTAAGTTCTAGAACATTTTGAAACTAGTATGACCCCTACTGCCATTGCATCTCGCATGAATCAAAACTTACTTTGTCAAGAGTAATCCTGCGACAACTATAAGGTCATCTGCATATTTTCCGCGCTAAAAAAATAACAGGAAGTGACGTATTATGCAACTTCACACTACTACACACGGCAGCAACTTGTATGGTACGTTTTAAGGCGGAAAAAACAATATTTGCAACGTTATTGTTACCTTGTATCCAAATGAATAGAAGTTTCAGATGTTTGGGTTAAAAACATGATGTTATTACTAATGGGAATGAAATTCCTAAATATATACTGAGTCAAAAAAGAAACTTCACATTCTTTCTTCAGGGCACTATAAAAGAACAAGAGATGGTAAGATGGTTAAATTGTTATTATTTCATTGCTGAGATCTGTGTGATGTACTCGATACACTGACAGTGCCATAATCAGTTCCATTAGGCTACACCGCCGTTCCAAAACATGGGTATACAGAATGT